CCCCCCCTGCGGGTGTCAGTCCGGTTTCTATTCTACCGGCAAGAGGAAACACTGTTTCTGTGTTAGACTTGGTCATCTTTAGTGTGCTCTTCGTTGTCTGCTATAGAGGTAAAGCTTGAAATGGTTTCATCCAGTTGACCCGACATTTGCAGACACAGAGATTCGATCCCTAAACCTGTGCCCAAACCCTGTACATTGACTGTCTGTGCTGAGTGAGATTTGATCCCTAGACCCACCCTGTACCCTGTACATAGACCCAGTGATCTGTGTGGGACTCGATCCCGTGACCTGTCCTACACCCTAGGCTAGTCTGTAGGTGGGATAGGAGGACTCGATCCCTAGGTCTGTAAGTAGTTAGGTCTGTTACCGTTAGGCATAGGAAGGTCTGTTCTAGAAGTCTCTATCTGAGTCTACCGAGGCCTACAGTGTGCCTGTAAGTCTGTAGGCCCTTGAAGGTCGTAGGTCCCTGTAGGCTAGTCCAGTCAGCAAGTACCAGGGGTAGGGGCTGCACGTGGGGAAGGTTCTGGACCACATGGGTGGGTTCCACGCGTTTTGGCGCAGAAGGCCATACGTCTGGAAGCTTCCCTGGGCCACGCGTTTTGGCCCAGGCCCACGCGTTTTGAGGCAGGCCCGGGAACCTCCGCAGAAGTATAAATACAGAGGCAGCGTCCAACCATTCATTCATTCGCCTGTGAGCCATGCGGAAGAGCTGCCTTGGTATCTTGTGCGTGGAGGTCTGCAGGTGCCCGGGGAGGAAGTGGGCAGTGAGGAAGACAGCGGCCATAGCTGGCCAGTGAGGAAGACAGCGGCCATAGCTGGCCAGTGAGGAAGACACCGACAGCCATAGCTAGAAGGAGGAGGACGACGGCGGCCATAGCCGCCCAGCGGCTGACACAGACGGAGTGTAGCGAGTGTGTGTGCCTGTGTTGCGTGGACATTCAGGGTAGATCCTCGTACATGCGTGCATGAGGGAGAGTGAGGCTGGTGGTGGAGACAGTGTTCGGTGGCCATAGCCGCAAGTTGTACAGTTGACTTGAACTGAGTTTTAAGTGCAAGTTCATTGGTGATTCTGAGTTGGAGAAGTTGTTTTGCCATCGGTTTGTCCATACATGCATGTTGCAAGCAAGTCTGAAGTCGAGTCTGATTGCAGGTACCCAGGCCAGGCAATCAGGTACCTGCCCAGGTACCAGAGGCTGAAGACTGCAGTGAGGCCAAATTGAGCAATGCAGCACTATAAAAGAAGTGGCCTAGTTCAGTCCAGCAAGGATTCTTTCACGAGTTGGGTGGAAGTGCTAGCCGAGTTCAGTCCATCAAGGATTCTTTCACGAGTTGGGTGGAAGTGCTACTCGGCTACTTGTGCCTATCGTGAGGTGGAAAAGGGCGCTGGAGGTCTGCTAGGCGCCTGGAGGAGAAGAGGGCCAGGGCGAGAGCCGCCCAGACTAGAGCAGACTAGGACAGCGTTGCGTATCCAGGTAGATCATAGTAGAGTAGTGTAGTTAGTAGAGAGAGAGAGAGAGAGAGAGAGAGCATGCGTGTGAAGAGTGTTCCGCTGTCTAAACTAGAGTGATGAGTTGAGTTTGGACTGGCGCTGATGCGCCTGTGTCAGAGAACAAGTGATGTAACTACGTATGTGTATGACGCTGTTGATGATATAATTAAGGCCGCTCTTCATAATTTCGAGTTTCCAGTGTGTTCTGTGATCTCTCTGATCATTGTATGTATGCACACGAGTAAAGTTGAGACAGGATCGTTGCAGTCTCTAAGTTGTGTGCATTTTTCTGCATTCGTGTTTGTCTGTTCCAGTTTTTGTCCGGTCTGGATTGTCGTTTCAGCCTTCAGGGTTTTTTTTTTCCACATCTCAACCCAGCGTAATACTGGGACCATTACTCAGGTTTGGCTCTTGCTGCAAACCGGGACCAGCGTCCGATAGCCTATAAGAAGTGTCGATTCAGGTTTTGTGCAGACCAGTTGTGTCGATTCAGGTTTTGTATGGACCGGTTGTGTCGTTTCAGGTTTTGTTTAGACCTGTTGTGTCGTTTGAGGTCTTGTACAGACCAATTGTGTTGTTTGGACCAGCTGGCCGTTTTTCAGGCCTGGTGCACTCAGCTTGGGGCTGAACCACGTTTTGGTCTAAAACATGATTCAGCCCCAGCAGCCGTTTTTCAGGTCAGCGCACTTAGCTTGGGGCTGAAGCACTTTCTGGTCCATCGACTGGGTGGTCCTTTGTGAGGACACCTCTGCTGACGCAGCAGCGGAACCTGGATGTCCGGTTGGGACCTGAGCGGGCCGTTTTAGGCCAGAGCATCAGGACCAGGCTTGTGCCTGCGTCCTGGACCATCTATTGGAGAACCGACTGAAAGGGGCCAGGGCAGAGGCCGAGGTAGATTCCAGTGGGCGCAGAATATAGCTGGGCCCAGTGCCATGTATAGCTGGGCCAGCTTCCGTTCCAGGCACACACATTCTGGGAGTTACGCCTGGAGCAGCGCTAGACTAGCTGCTGCTACTGGAGTACAGTAGAGACCTTGGGGGCTTACGTTTGGGGCCCATAGCCGGAGTTCGTCTTCAGACCACATCGGCCACCCGCAGCACAGCTCAAGGCAACGTCTTTTGCAGGTCTCTACCTGGCCATGTGTGTGTGTGTGTGTGTGTGTGTGTGTGTGTGTGTGTGTGTGTGTGTG